TTTCGCAATCTCCTCTTTGGCCTTTAAAATTAGTTCTTTTTTGAGTCCGATAAAATTGCTAGTGGTTTTTTGTTAAGATCGTCAGTGCACGATTTTTTTTCCTTTTCTTGTACAACAACCAAGTATTGCTCCAACGTTGATTTTAACTTGTCCATTTTGCTTGTTAGATGTTCGATGTCACCCGAACCACTTCTCGTTGTTTTACCCTTTGCTTAGTTTGGTATCTTCCCATGGGACGAGTAACTCTTAAAACCTCAATAAACTCTTCTTCATTGGGGGCAATCTTGACATGTGTATCCGATGATTGACTATGAGTTGTTTCAGAAGTTTTGGTTCTTTTAAAAAACTACAATTGAATGTTTTTGAACTTCAGCATCTTGCCACTTTTTCAACCTCTTTACAATATTCCAAACATGAAGAAATTTGATTTTTTTTTCCCTTACTGAGGTAAACTGCAAGAGCTTTTTGCAAGATTGTTTCATCATTTGCATCACTTTGTCATTGTTGTTTCACAGTCGAAAATATTGCATTAAATTTCATGACAACTTTGCTGACGTTCCTCCACTTCGAGTAAATTTGATCATTTTTCTGTCGTCTTCACGATTCATTTCCACAAGAAAACACCTAGTAACTTTCCAGAAAAGAATCTTGGTTTTTGCCAACCCTTAGATCTTCCGAAACATCTACCCACGCATGAACCAACGTCGTTTCTTCCTGCATTTCCCATTGCTTGGGAGGTAACTTTCCTATTTTCTTGGGTTCCGGCCGAACCGCTTCTAGCTTGGAATCCATTTCGGGTACGACTTTGGATTATGAGTGAGTTTGGAATTAGGTTTGGGTTTGAGATTGGAATTGGAATGACAATTCGTTAGATGGTCAAACGGATTGAAGTCATTTTCCATTTTCAATTGGACTTAAGATTGGAATTTCATTGTGGTTGACATTGGGATTGAGGTTGGAATTGTGGTTGAATTTGGAATTGTTGTTGGTTTTGGATAATATATGGGTGGTATGCACCGGGATAGAGTAAATTAGGAGGTTAATAAATAAGGTGATCACTTTGATTTTGGATGAAGGTAGGTGATGAAGGTGAGACTGAGCTTGCGTTTTAAGTGTTTTTTTGCTAGTACTTGGAGTTCTTGGGTTGGAAGGAGAATCCATTTTTTCATAAATATGAAGACTTTTCTAGTGAAAATGGAAGAATATCGTGTGGTATAAAATATGGTAGTGAGTGGTATTTAAATAGGTTGAAAAGATGAGTAAAATTTGTTTTTTTTTTCGACAAAGAAACGATCACAATAAGATTAAAAAACGCACACATTTTTGAAAATGGAAATTATCTCTCTCTCTCTCTCTCTCTCTCTCTCTCTCTCTAGAAGTTACCGAGTTTGGCCAATAAAGTCGGCATATCGGGATGGTGGCCCGGTGTTCACCAAGCACATGCTAGCTTTTTTTCGAGTCTCATCGAGGCCATTCCGCACAATTTAATCTTTCATTTCCCTTAGATAAAGTTTCAACCGACATCACCAATAGAAGTGTAACACCTCAACTCTTAAAATTTTCTTTTTATTTGAAACCATTAAGACAAAAATATCGTACTTTAGTAACAACAAGGTCAACAAGTCCATTTATAGAACATGATGAGAAATAAATCACATGAATTAATATAGACATCTAATGCCACAATATCCATCTTTAAACACCTGATATTTACCGGTATCATGTTCTTTAGCTAATACATCCTCTTTGATCACTTACACTTTAAACTTTAAACTTAAATTGACACACATAAACGTAAACCAAAAATTATTGTAAGCTATAAAGCTTAGTGAGTAACATATTAGCATTTTGTCTTAACATAAAATTTATATGACTTATTTTATAATAAGTAATATATTCATAAAAATAATACTTACATCAAATAGAAGTATCATACAACCAACACTTTCAAGGTATAACCCCTCATCGTGTTCCGTATTATAACTCACAATTAATATATATATATATATATATATATATATATATATATATATATATATAAGTCTCACACCAAATTATCATTGTCTCATAATTAAATTACTCAAGTAAACATGCATATAATGCATTCGAAATTCTTCCACTACATATATAAGGGTATGCAACTTGTCCCATATACATGTACATGTGGAAGGGAAATATAACATTTTCCCCACATTAACCCAAAAGTGTTAATAAAAACATTACACATATAAACCCATCAAGATATTACAAAAATCTTCATTTTATATATGTACATGACATTTTAAACATAAAGTTAGCACACAGAACTTTTATAAATTTTCATAATAACATATCATTTAAGTTCAAGAAGCAATAGTCATTTCCCTCATAAGTTTATCATCTTCATCATTATAAATACATTAACCTCTCAAACATAATCACATCATATTACATAAACTCGCTAAAAGCATCATTCATATGCTCAATAAATAATTTGATGAAGAGTATCACTCACAGTTACCTATATAAGCTCAATAATAGCATCATCATGTCTCTTATGACCTTAATGAAAGCATTGTCTTTATAAGCTCCATAAGCTAAGAGCAAGAACTTCGTAATTTCTTTAATTTCATCAAGAGAATCAATTTCATAACATCATTAAGCTTATCAAGAGAATCAACTTTATAATTTCTTTAAGCTAACAACGAGCATCAACTTCACAACTTAGTTAAGCTAATCAAGAGCATCAACTTCATAAATTCTTTAAGCTTATCAATATCATCAACTTCGTAAATTCTTTAATCTCATCAAGAACATAAAATTTGTAACTTATTTAAGTGCATCAAGAAAATCAACTTTATAACTTCTTTAAGCTTAATAAGAGCATTTATAACAATATCACTTGTACTAAATAAGAGCATTTATAACAATCCCTAATGTAGTTGTGAATCCCTCCAAGACCATAAATTATTGATAACAATTTGTTTAAAAAATGACATGATATATTATAAACAAACTATTAATGTCATCAATGTATGGATTATAAAACTATATCAATCTTATAACTAAAATGAACAATGATGTTACTTACCTTGGTCACTTATGGAAGTTGTCATCATGCTCCCTTACTGATGTGTCTTTTGAACCCTGATAAAGGTAGTGTTATTTTCTTTAATTAACCATTTATTCATTCAAAAAGTACATAAAACATGCATGCCCTTCAATGTGATACTTTTATCTTATATGCCATCATAAATCATCTGCTTGATCTTACTATTTCACAATATAACATTTTTATTGCAATTCAACACCTTTTAGTCATATTTACATTCTAAATAAGTACATATTGTCTTATGTCATCATGCTCATGTAATCAAACAAGTATATATAACTTTATATTCATTTAAAAATCACAATTTAAAATCTAACTCATAATCATCATGAATATATCCATTATGAGATGTTATTATTGTTGCTCACCAAGCTATAGGCTTATAGTTACTTGATAAGTTACACCATATTCATAAACATTCAGTAAACAATGGAAGAATTATTTTAATTGAAAATGTTGGTTGTAATTTTCAGTTTTAGGGTGTTACATTAGAATTATTTTCATGTTCCTAAGAAGTATGCAATAATCATATCTGGTGTCTTAGTTAGTTGTTTACCAACTTGAATTCCTTTGTTTCCCAAAACAACATTATCATATGAATTAAACTCACCATTATACACATTTCCTCATTCATGAACATGTCAACCATTAGTATCTCATTTGTCTCGTCATTCTTCAATAGTATCATTCTTATCAAACCTTGCAATCATGGCAAAAAGTTTGTGATATATGATCCGATAAAATATAGCTTACATGCTAATTCTTTTATATTATTTGCTTGTAGGAATTAGGAAAAACCAAACATTTATCCTATTCTTGATATTTTTCTTGCAATAAACATGTCCACAACATTTTCATGCCCCCGCATACATTCCACAACTTGTGATTCATCATGATTCGAGGAAAATTAATAACATAAAGTGCATAGAAGATACATTTTAAATAAGTTAAACTAGAATTTTCATGCCATGTGTTGACATTTCCTAGAGATGCCATCATAATGAAATCTTGTCACTTATTTTCCTTAAACTCCTTATGTCGATCAACATAGATCCACCTTTCCGATTCTCCAGTGAGATGAAAAAGAAGAATCATGTAAGAAGAAAATAAAACCAAAATGATTAATGCACATATATACAATTAGAAATAATGTAACATCCAAAAAGTTGGGTGTTTGGAAAGTGAGAAAGACGATAAAACCAAGAAAAATGCTCTTAAGTTAAATGACAATAAGTAAATGCAAAATTAGTAACTTAACAATTATTATATAATATGATAATGACGGACTAGAAGCATAAATAGATAAACATATTGTAGAGAGAACAATATATATTGATAATTGTTCAACAACATAGCGTGAAAGGTGTAAGAAGAACCATAACCTGATTCCCCTTTTATAAACACAAAAGGATGGGATATCTATAAATAAGTATAGGTAAAAGATATTGATATGACTAAGTAATCTAGTCATTATCCAACAATCATTACTACCTAGTATGTATTAACTACTAACATATAAAGAAAAAAATAGAAGTCAATTTCTTTTAATAACAAAACAACCTTCTGATGATTCTTCCTTCTGAACACGCCTTGACTTTGGATGCTTCAACTTCGGTCAACAACTTTGAATGTTGACCTTCGTTGAAGGTCAATTCTTGGTTCAAAAATCTCCCCCTAAACGATCGTAGTTTCTTTTCTTCAGATATCTAAATTTTTATTCACAAAGTCAAATACCCTTCTGGAAAATTATCTAACTATGAACATCCATTGAATCTGTATCACAACTTCCATTTTGAACTCAACAGAGGCTTAAGGAGTTCCAAGGGAAACATATATGAGGCTTTTGAGAAAATAGGTTGAGTAACGATGTTTCATGCTCAAAAAAGTGTTTCCTATTAGATCCATTAATCTAGTAGATGATTCCGAGTTCAGGAGAGTCAGTTATCCCGAATTCTATGTATTCAATTCCTTCAACAGAGGATTCCATTTCTAAAAATTGTTCTAGGGGATGCAGTGAGTTTATCTCAAAATAAATTGTAGCCATTTTGAGAGATATCCTCTGAAGATATGTTCGGACATAAATAAGAGCATTCTTGGCGGTTTCTTTGGAAGGAATCCTTCTATTTAGTTCCTTGCCAATGAAAAGTAGATCGCTAGGATTGGCAATGTGGAAGTCCAATTCAATGAGTTAGTATTTATTCTCATTTGTTCTCTGGAGTTCATAGCAGTAGTATGAGGTTGCTTAGAATGATAGAAACTTGAAGCTTTTGAGTTTGAGAATTACTATTTTGGACCATCCCATGTGATAGATCTTTTGTTGATGCTTTACAAAAAAAGGTTACCAACATTTTTCTTTCCTCATACATAGGCTCACTCTTGGGCTTGAATTTTGTCATAGGAGGAAAAATTAGGAGGAAGCGCCCATTTGGAGAGATCGGGAGATCCCATTCAAAATCAGAACTAAGAGGAGCATCATGGGATTCATTAGAAGTAATGTCCTTATCTTCAAGAGGTTGGATCAAGGAAATTTAAGGTTTGAATAGAGGATTTACATCATTATATTCTAAAGGAAAAGGAGGAACAAAAAAATGTTTGTTGAGCTGATCTTAGAGAAGCTTCACAACAAGATGATCTTGATGTATTTGTTCAAGCTTATGTTGTACTTTGGTTTCTTTATCATCTTCATCAAACGAAGAGAAAATTCCAGTAGGAGGGGCTTCTTCTTCACGAACCTTTTTTCTTTCCAATATCTCGGGTAGGAACATTTTCTTTAAGAAGGGACTCCAGAGGTGTTGGGATCTTAGGTGGAGACTTCAGAGAAGGACTTGGAATCTTGGGTGGAGATTTCAGAGACTTCGAAGGGGAATTGGGAATTTTAGAAGAAGACTTCGGAGATGTTGGACCTCTCTTTGATGGATCGCCATCATCATCATATAGTTCCTGAATTATCACATCCTTTGGAATTTATTGTCATTGTCTTTCTTTGGAGAGGGTGTGTGAGGTTCTTTTCCCCCTTTCATTAAAGAAGGTCCAACCTCATTCACGAACCCTTGCTTCAAATCATCAAGTTTGGAGAAGACTTTAAGAAAATATTGGATGACATTTTTTGACAAAGAGTAAACTCCAGTATGAATCTCAGTTGTATCCAAAAAAGCTCCAATATTTTAAACATATTCATTGAGATTTTGAGATTCCTCCCGAGGCCACTTGGCTAAATGTTGACATCATTTAAACGCTTGGAATAGACATTGGTCATGATAAAAGTGTTGTTACGATAGTGAAGCAGTTTATGTCGAAGTTGTGCAACTTCTTAGCCATGTTGGTTGCCTAATATTTCAAAGAAAGTTTCCAAAGAGGTTTTGACTGTCTTTTTGTGATCAGATATCTCGGTAGAAAGGTTATTGAGAATGTTAGTGACCGAAAATTGAAATTCCTCAAGCTTCCGGAGGCGAAAATCCATCTCTTGATTTGACTCTGAAAGAAATTTTTGAAGAGCCTTTTCAATATCTTCAGAAGTGATTGAAGGAGTTGAATTTGGAGCAAGAGTCGAAGCCAAATGTAGTTTTGACAAGTGGTCCAAGATGAGTTCAATGTGGCTTCACGAAGCTTTAAATCTAGGGAAATGCCAAACTGAGCAGAGGATTTAAAATCTTTGGAAGGTCGGTTTGTGGAATCTAATGATGAAGATTTTGGTTTTGTAGGAGGTTTCTAGGAGTTAGTAGTTGTATTTAGTGTAGGTCGAGGCTTGAAAACGAAGTTAGTCATGATTCCAACGGATTTAGAGACATATTCATCAGAATCATTTTTGAATGGATTTTCTTTGGAGATTAAATCGGCTCTAGAGAGAGTCTTGGAAGAAGTTTTCTTGGTTGTAGAGATATTCTGAGGTGATAAATATCTTGTTGTATGTTGTTTCCTCATAAGCTCTTCCGTTTGAATTTTGGTTCTGGCAGACTCTTCTTCAGCCCGTTGTTTTTCTTTGGTCGCCTTCTATTCTGTAGCCTCTAGTTTCTTTTTTTTATTTCTCTCTCTTCTCTATATGAGAATGGAAAGCCTTTATTTGCTTAACCAAATGTAGTTCAACTTCTCTTTCTTTTTCCTTCTTTTCTTTTTCCTCTTTTTATCTTCTGATTTTGGATTCAATTTGTTTGTTTCTGAATGAACCACGAGATTGATCAGTAGATTTAACACCTTTTGAAGGATCAGGGGAAGTTATTCCTGAAATTTCATAATGATTAGATTGTAACACACACACACACAATCCAACCGTTCTGAAGAACTCTGTTCAAGCAATAATACAAACCGAAGTGTCTGTTAGGGCCACACATATAGGATGGTTTTTATGTTAGTATTGAAAGTATTTCCTATGGATATATCCATATTTCTAGCAACATAAGTTGGATCCAAAGAAGTGGCTTCAGAAGTGGTGTGTGCATAAATGAATAAGATATTCTCTTATAAGATCAAAGAATTTTACCTAAATGGATGTCCTTTTGGGGATGAGTACATGAAGTTTTGCCGGTACACTTTTGAGAGGTAATGGTTATGGAAGCAAACTTAACCCCTTTTACTTTTGACACATCTCCTCCTTGAGGAAATAAATGGATGGCTTGGGGTTCCCCTGACCCGACGTGAAATCTATTATCACCATCGGGTTGTTAAGAGTGCGTGGTGTGCAATAGGATGCGCATTTTAGGAGTAGGAGAGGGAATGGTAGATTCTTTTTTTTCTTTTCATTATTTTTCTTCTTTGGTGTCGTCTTGACCTTTGGTGGTGTGACTTAGATCCTGTAGGTTTTGTATCAAGTTCTTGTCGAGGATGAGGTAGGATAATCTGGTTCTGGTTCATCCATATCCTTGGTATGTTGGGCAAGAACTTCTGATTCCCTAGGAATGAGATCTAGAAGAGTATTAGATAGATGTTTGGAGGCCCCAAAGTCGGTTGGATCCGGTACAGATAAATGTTTCACTTGGCAAGTTTCAACCATCTCCAGTGATTCATCGATGGGGATCATGGATGTGTTGTAAATGGATTAAAAAAACTGCCCAGATGCGAGCATGAGGGATCACATCTTCTTTGTGCTGATGTATTCCTTTATATTATTCCAAATGCAAGTGTTTTAGTCTATCATTCGTCCCGTAATGATTCCCCGTACTATCGGAATCCAAGCGGGGCTCAATTGATATGTTACACCAGTTTTGCTAGTGAGACAGCGGATAATGATGTGAACAAAAAAGTTCCATGTGATGGGAAGTTTGGATTTATTGAAGTAGTTTGCACTAGAGAGGAAATTGAAAGTGAGTGTGGGTTTGAGACGTGGAAAGAGAAAGCCTTTAGACAGATTTGGGTATCTAGAGAGAATCATGAACCGTCGGATAATTCTTTTTAAAATTGGCGATAAGTGCGACACATTTAATGATAATGACGTAGTCCTTAAAAGCCAAGGTTCATGAATTTCGGCAAGACGGTTCAAATAACCCAAAATGATGTGACAAGATACTGACCAAAAGATTGCTTTTTATTTTCATGAAAAGAGGGTTTGACCTTGGAAAGAAAGAAAACTTTTTGTCCCATACACGTGTCTGTTTAGAAAATAATTTTTCATTTAGAGGAGAGAATGATTTGTTCTGTTATATGTATTCTCTAATGATTTTGAAAGTAAAAACTCTCTTGGAGATCAGAGAGAATAAAATAGAATACACATTTAATACAAATCATAAGAACTCTATTTATTACAACTTTTAGCTGGTGGAAGTGACTTCTTTGGATGTGTTAAAGAACACTAGACAATGCGACTTTTAAGATATCAAAGATTATATAAACACACAACATCAATTATGTATGAAAAAACCATTAGAAGCCAGCTAAGTTACATCTTACAGCAGCTTCTAAGATTGATCACACACAAAAAATTTGGTGATACAGAGAAAATGGTTATCAATCTCAAAGGCTTCAGACATAAACATATTTATGCTAACCTATTAGGTTCTAGATTAAGCATCCCTAACATGATAAGAAAATTATTGAATAGGATTGAATCAAGAGCCTTTGTGAAAACATCTGTAATTTCGTATGTTGTAGGAACAAAAATGATTTCATTATTTCTCTTTAAGACGTTGTCTTACAAAAAGTGACATATAATATTAGTATGTTTCATTAAATAATATTGTATTGGATTATGAGAGATGTCTATACCACTCTTTGAATCACAGTAAATAGGTACATTTATCATATGATATCCGTAGTTCAGAAGTTGTGACTTCATCCAGAGAACTTGGGAACAACAACTTGCAGCAGCAACATACTCAGCTTCGGCAGTGGACAGCAAGATACAATTTTGCTTCTTTGAGGACCAGCTGACAAGTCGTCCTCCGAGGAATTGACATCCTCCTATGTGCTCTTTCAATCGATTTTTCATCCAGCATGATCATAATCAATGAAAATTTGAAGACTGAAGTCATTTCCGACTGGATACCATAAACCCAAGGATTTTGTTCCTCGAAGATATCAAAGAATCTGTTTGACACCATTGAGATGTGAGACCTTCAGGTTGGCCTAGTATCGCGCACATTGGCAAGTGGAAAACTTGATGTCAGGTCTACTTGTAGTGAGGTACATAAGAAATCCAATCATTCCTCGATAAGTCTTTCGATCTGCGGATTCACCAAAAAGATCAACAAACATCTTCGCTCTGAAGGACATAGGAACTTTGGATGACGCACAATTATCCATAGAGTACTTCTTGAGAAGTTTAGAAGTGTATTTAGTTTGATAAATAAATGTACATTGAATAGATTGACTTACCTGCAGATCTATAAAGAAATTCATTTCATGATTCATGCTCATTTGAAATTTACTTACCATAAGTCTTGAGAAGTCAGAAACCATGGATTCATTTGTAGATCCGAATATAATGTCATCAACATATATTTGCACAAGCAATAGACGCTTCTGATTTGACCTTTTGAATAACATTGGATAAATAGTTCCCTGATGAACCCAAATTCTTACACAAACTTAGTTAAAGTTTCATACCAAGATCGAGGAGCCTGTTTAAGTCCATATACTGCTTTCATGAGCTTGTAGTGGTTATTTGGAAGATCGAGGTTTTCAAAACCTGGTGGTTTCTGGAGATAAACTTCTTCTTTTAATTCTTCATTGAAAAGATCACTCTTGGTGTGCATTTGATGAACATTGATGTTCTTGTGAGCAGTGTAGGCTAGAAAGATTCGAATGGCTTTCAATCTTGCAACATGATCATCTGTGTCATCATAATATATTCCTTCTTGTTGACTGTAGCCTTTTGTAACTAATATGGCTTGTTCTTAATAACAATTCCAGCTTAATCAACTTTGTTTCGGAATACCCAATGAGTGCCAACAATTGCTTGATGTTATGGGGGAAGGACAAGGATTTAGACCTTATTTCTTTCAAACTCAACTAGTTCTTATTGCACGGATGCGATCCAATCAGAGTGTTCTGGTGCATCATGGATGTTCTTAGGTTCAATCAGTGAGATAAATGCGGTATATTGGCACTCAATTTGAATATATTTTGTCGATCTGGTTTGAACACCAGCATTGGGATTGCCAATGACTTTGTTAGGTGGATGATCCTTGGTCCAAATATGGAGATGAGGGGTGATGTGATCTGTTACGGAAGTTGATGTGATTTCATGAGTTGAATTGTGTGTGTCAATTTGAATAACCAATGGAAGCTCCCCCTAGACAGCTGAATCACCAGAAGGAAAGTTTTCACAAGGTGTTTTTGTAATGGCCAATCATTTAATAGTTGGAATTTGAGGTTGGATGTCATAGTTGGTAGCTCCTAAAGGAATGGTATCTTGTAGAATTGTTGCAGGACCACAAAAAAAGGAAATTTCTCCCACGCAATTGGTGGGGAAGATTCTACAGTGATATTCTCCCCCTCAACCGGAGAAGCAGAGGTTTCTCTGGTTGAAACTTCTAATAGAAGGGACCAAGAAGAATTTTTGGAGACTTGAACTTCGGTTGGACGAACGAAATCATCATTTAGAGTAACTTCGGATGGTCGGAAAAGAGAATCAAAGTCGATGTTGACAATAACTTGTTGAACTTATGTGTCCGACTTAGGTATGCAACTTTCCAAAATGTGGGAAGCAACATGAGTTTAAGAAGTGTTGCGGACAAACAAGTCGTCAAACGTGACATCAAAGCTTTCTTCAATGAGATGAGTTCTTCTATTCAAAATCATGTAGGCAACTCCTCTAGTTGAATATCACATTTTGGCTGGAATTTGCTGAGATGATCTTTATTGTTTTTTGTTAAAACACCTCCCACCAAAAATGTAAAAGAATTTAACATGAGGTGTCTTACCATTTAGAGCTTGATATGGAGTGCATTTGATTCATTTGTTGATTATGCTTCAGTTCTGAACAAAACAAACAGCAGCTACAGCTTCGGCCCAGAATTGTAATGGAAG